AGATATGTAATAAACGGTTTTCACAACCATTTTAAAAAATACTATTTCCCATACTAAACAACAAAAATACTACTCAAGAAAAAGAGGTGTTGGATCTTCGCTTAGCTTGCTTGCTTTCTTTTAAATTTTGTTTTAAATATGTAAGCAATGATAAAGATTCAAAAACACGAAAAGGGACAACAAACACCTGCTGCAGCTCTGTGGCACTTCAGGAAAATGCCCTTCTAGAGCTTCTTCCAACTAAAACCTTTCTTCAGCAGTAACTCACGTGGTGGGCATCCCACCGACGAGGCACGGCAAAGCGCAGAAAGGGCCTTGCTGGAGGCCACGCACAACTTTCACAAACCTCCAACTATATTAAACCCTGTCGCCTAAAGCTAAGCCTAAAATCACTTCCCCATGATATAAGCAGGTAACAAAATAGGCACCAGGCAAAGGTAACGCACCCTCTCCTCACTCATTGAAGAAACCAGCTGTCAGACTCTTGGCACGTGAGGAAACTGGAATTATTTGATGCAAATCTTACATCCCCTGAAATCAAAGTTTTAAAAGTGCAACAAATTAACCTGAAATGAAGTTCCTCGTGGAATCCTGGAAATTCCTAGAATATGTTTAAATCTGTTGAATCAAAAAATCCATTTTCCAATTGACCAGCTATAGAATGCTGCAGTACAGTTTTGGCGGAGTGTTTCCACACAATTAACCTTCTAATTACAATTCTGTGAGCGAGCTCAAAACAAATAGGCAGAGATTTAAGCGTCTACCTTTACAGCCCTGCTTTAAAACCATACCCTCCAAACGTTCATCTTTTAAACCCCGAAAATCCTGCCTATATGTTAGGAGCAGCACACTTTTTAATCTCCACTTCTTAATCTGATTAAACAAATCTAAAGCCCGATTTCTCCTACTGCGTTTAATACTGGCACTCCTCCTAACTGCTTATTTCACAGCAGGAATTGTCTTTGGGAGCACATTCCCATTATTGCTCCAGATTGATCTACACGGCAGCTTTGGACCAAAAGATTACGCATATATATGGCATTTCCTAAAGGGCACTGCTTAAAGCACTAAAAATATCAAGCAAGCAGAAAAATTTATTCTATATATTATAGCTTTATTAACAACATAAAACAACATATTAAAAAATCCCTAGCATTTCCAGGCAGGTACTTCTGCTCTCAGATTTTATTTACCAATAGCTGGCTCTAGCCCGTATCAGAAGCTATAAGATTTTATTTTCCTAGGTTTGGAGGGGTTTATTATCAAACATTTTTCAATGAAAGAAAGAAATGATTACTCCAAATACTAACAGTAGGAAAAAGTTACTTTGGGGCCCTTTTGCTGCCAGAGCGAGCGYAACCATGACCTGCTTTGGATGTTGGCACCGTATCTTCAGTGGGTTTGAAGCCCATTAAACATCTGGTGGAATTGGCTCTAYTTCTGTAACGCGCCCTGATGGCCTCCGCTTTGTTGTGGACCTCTACAGGCAGATAACAAGCCCTGAGGCTGTTATGGACCCCAGGCTCCTGCCATAAACACAACTCACCTCCGATCATCGTCTGCCGGTGGAGTCAAGGGAGGCTGTTAATCAAATGGGGAAGAAAGCAGGCGTTTGGGCAGCTTTGAACAGGTCTCACTCACCTGCTCTTTACTGCATGGTGCTATCAGAGCACCGCTCAGAGGCTGAAGGCCAACGGCACCACGTGGGGGATGGCTGCATTTGGGGGAAGGGGCTCTCTGCAGGCTTCGGCAGCAACCAAGATAGATGGGGATTGCACTGACTTCTGCAGAAACATACTCAAGGTTGCATTAAGCAGCAATTAGAAAATGCCACTTGGTTTCACCTCTGTTTTCATGTTCCATGGCTTTCAGAAACATAGTCTGTGGTGTCTATAAAGCAATATCTCTAAGCTACAGACACGTTAATCTTAGGCTGCTAATTATTAGGCCAGAAAGATGAGAAAAACATTGTTTTATGTATTCTCCCACCAATGCATTACACAGAGGGTACCTGTGTGTCTCCAGGCTGACCCCCCGACTCTAACACAGCTACAAGCCCAAGAAATGGAAACCAGAGGACCAACCACCACCACAGCRGTTGCCTTACTTTCAGCCAGCCTTATTTTGCAATTTTTCATTTAAGAAGATACACAGCAGGCCTTCTTATTTAAGATAAGTAAACACAGTGAAGTTTGCAATAAATATAGAATAGATAAGAAAGCAGATTGCTGAAGGATGCTATTTACCAGCTAGCAGCTTCCTAACAAAGCATACATTCCTTCAAATCCCAAACTTATTCCAGCTTCCACAAAGGGGTCTATGAAATAACATGCTGCACGATGTATGAACACTGATCTGCTTCAACGTGGGGTTTTCARCCCCTGCCCGAGTTCTGCAACATGCAGCACATATGGGGGCTGTCGTGGCCCCAAGCAGCCTGGCTGATTCCAGCCAACTGCTTCCGAGCAAAGCTTCCCAGGAGCAAGGACTAGAGGTGCYGAATTCCCAGAGGGAAATGATTGCAACACTCATTCTTTCATACCACAAAAAAAAGTAAAAATTCAGCATGCTTGGAAATACATTTAACATTGAGTAGCACCCATCCAATTGCAATCACCAGAACAGCAGAAACAACATTACCCTACACCAACTCTTAACGGCCCAGTGCAGCTGCTCCAATATACCCAAATAGATAAGGGAAAAGCAAATTCACGTTACAGGAGCTGGCACTTGGTCTTTGCCTGCAATCTCCCATCAAGCTGCTGACACTGACTTGCATCGTAACACGTTATGTGGATGGTAAAGTTGGCACCTCCTGGGCCATTCTTGCTTTCCTCCCAAAAACTGGATGCAAAACTGTTTCTGCAGTGGAATTGTCATATTATTGTGACAAACCAGCACGGAGCGAGGAAAAGATACCAAATGCCTCCAAATCTCTTTAAAACACAACTGCTGAGTCCYTCTTGTTTGATCACTTTCAAATGAATAGTCCACAATTTCTACTAATTCCTGAGTCTAAAACCAAGGAAAAGAAAGAAACAGCTGGTCCTTACAAATGTGGGTTATGAAACACCTAGAATAATACAAAATGAAAATGTCAATTAAGAAACCAAAAGTAGCTAATATTCAAGCCTCTGCTTGCAAACAACACTTGTCCTTTTATTTTCCCCTGTCCCTCATCAGGGATCCTGTCCCCACTGCCTGAAGTGACCAAATACAAATAGAGACATCCCTGATTGAATGCTAATTTCTAAGATGATTCATTATAGAGGATACTGCCTTTTCCCTCCCCGTGGTTACAGGTTTTGTTACACTCTGCAAGTGATGAGGCTGTTTGTTTTAATTGCTTTACTTACTATTCTTACACAAAAGGACAAAACAAAAAAGACTCTCTCCTATAGACCCTGCTCTGCAAAACCAAACGGATGCCGGACCCATTAAACTACTATAAATTTTATAAGGAGGCCATGCCTCAGATGTGACCCTTTCCCTTCCAAAGACAGTTCAGTGGTTGCATTGTCACTCCTTCGTATTTAATTTCGCTCATTAAAATACATGTGAGGAATTATGCATCCATGAACCAGCACCTTCTACAAGGGCCTCTCATGTCTCTTTTTAAAAGGGCAAACATTAAACAGCTGTGACTAATTCACAGCTAATAATATCTATTTACCAGTCCTATCTATTACACAGGAAGCTTGTCAAGACTTTGGCCATATACAAACACTGCATAACAGCCTCCCTGGACCTCGCTCAACTTCTCCCCTGAAGTCAAATTATTCTTTCACAATTAATCAATACCTTTCACAATTAATTAATAACATATGGTAAATCTAAGTACAAAATGTAGCAAAGTTCCCCCATATACAGCAATTATCTCTATCAAAAAAAATACTTGGTAGGTCTCATTATCAATGAAGAAGGAACCAAAACCTTTTTCTTTTTTACCTAAGACACTAAAAGRCCAGCAGAACCTGAAAAGACTCCCATTACTGCACTATGTGTTTGGTTGGACACAGCTGAGAACCAAGACAGTAGATGTRAACATATTTGACTGAACCATCTTCCTAATACAGCTTGCACATGAATAAAGAGCTTAAATCCATGATATCCTCTTAGCAGTGTGTTCTTGATGCTTTGCATCAGTGTATCTTGGTATACGATTCCGTAAGATTCAAAGATGAAGAAGTCTCTTTTTTAAAAAGAATATATAATTTTTTTTATTTTATATAAATCTATATATATGTTTATATATATATATAGGAGACTATCTGACCACCATGTTGCCAACATGCAGGCTTTCCCCCACCCAAGATTAGCTCAGCACCTATGCATCTGGATCAAATACCCTTCTTCCTATTTTCAAAAGGATGGGAATTGGGGTAATCCCACCCTCACAGTGCAAAAACCTCCCAGGCCAGGCCCGCATGCTGCTGAAAGCTCAAGTGGGACAGATGCCTCCACAGTAATTGCCAATCAGCCTCCACGCTGCAGCTGCAAACACCGGSCATCACTTGGATCTCCTCAGCTCCCCAAGCGCTCGCCCATCAGTCTGGGTGAAGAGCATGAAGTAGGCAACACTTCCAAAAAAATGTCTCCATGGAACTTAAATATAATAATGTATGCTTTTTCATACTTCCTAAAGCATTTCAAAGCCTCTGTGACGCATATGGAAGAATATGTTTTAGCTTGCATAAAAGAACAGACGTGAAAGATGGTTCGTATTTGAAAGACATGTAGGTTTTCATTGGATAACGGAGGGGAACCAATAATTTAGCAGAGCTTCAATTGCTTTGACGGGAGGACATTGCATTACAAGAACACGCTTAATTAAGTCTCTCTGCTAATTCTGTAAAATGAATACCTTGCTGAATTAGGCTGCGGGGAAACAACACATGCACAACAGCTCCACGCGCTTACAACAAATACACATTTTTAAAGAAAAAACCAACAAAATAAGAGATTTTTTTTTAAAGGATGCTGAGCAGGGTTGCACTTACACTTTGCAGGTAACTCGTAGCCGCAGGTGATTTTGGCTTGCCCGGTCTCGCAGCCGCTGAGGTTGCGGCACTCGGCGACGAGGCAGGGCCCGGCAGCCCGGTGGATGCAGCCGTCCACTGCAAAACACAGCCAGCAAGTTACTGCATTAGCAGAGTCACTCTTCACGTTGCATCCACACAAATGAAAGACCACATTTACTGCCTGGCTGCATACGCACGGTGGAGACCGCCTGGTTTACTCACRCACAGCCAGGAGTGCACACGCATTTCTTTCCCACCTCAATTTAGGGTCTTTTTGTTGATGCTCAATGCACAAAGTGACACTTAGGCAACAGCAGCTAATTGCAAAGAAAATACCTAGATACTGTGAAGCAGAATTGAAATATCAATATTAGAAATGGGTCCTATCCAAGATTCTAGAAAATTATCATTACCAATTATGAAAGCAGGAATGGATTCCCAGCTAAATGCCATACCTCGGATTCTATACTATATACCTTGGATTCTTTCTGTATTACACAGATCATGTTAAATCACTGACCTATTCATGTCTTAAAAACTAGAAATATTGTTTATGAACTAGACAAAAAGACCTCATTTTGGCCCTTTTAAAAAAAGTATGTATTCTGCATTTATTCATGCAATACTCTGGAGTTAATTGAATAATAATTAGTAAAGGTCGCAATTGCAGCTAAGTAGGCAAGAAAATCAGTAACGTGCACAGTTCTTAATGCCCTCAGGAGCCTGCAAAAGAATAGCAGCAAGCAGCAAAAAATCCCAAAATGGAACAACCACCACCACCAAAACTCCGTGGCACAGCGTTTCTGCCATCTCAACGTACAATCAAAGAAACCATTTGCTGTAATTACAGCAAAAAGCTTAAGAAAGCAAAGAGAGAGGCATTGTATTCATCTGGAGGAGCTGCCTCCTGCAGCCTGCTGGAAAGCCGGGCTTGTCTTGGGGTGTCCTGGGCCTTAGTTGMTTGTTGAAGTTCACGTGAACTTCAGATGGAGCGAGGCTTCCTTCCAACGCTCCAYGCTCTCCTTGGCTGCAGTGCCACCGGGGTTCACAGCATCATTTTGGAAGCCTTTGTAATAGTGAGAATGGCAATTACGGGATCTTGTCTTGTTAAACTTTCAGGGATAATTTCTGAAGCTTTCCCATGTTCAAGAACGTGTGTGAAGCCACCAGACATAAGCAAGTTCTGCATCTGACACAAGCAGCCTCCCTACCCTCTCTCAGCCGAACTTTTAGGCGTACTAGGAATCTCTGCCCAGTACACTCGACAAYGCTACTGCAGGAAGAAATATTTTGTAACCTCAAGGGGAAGAAAAGGAGCGTTTGAAATCTGTCCTGCACTCATAATATCCTGTTTAATATTTTTAAGTTAATTACAAAATGCCTTCCCCACCCAAGCAGGGCAAGTAACCCAGCATGCAGTGAAACCTCAAGCATATGCTTACAGGCACCACATTTTTATTTATTTATTTATKTTACCAACATGAATATTTCCTGAGACATTAACATAAAAACAGCACTAAGGCTGAGGACTAGAATCCCTGCWCAACCTCCACCGAGGGAGAGGCCTCTCACCTCGGGGCAATCMGGGGGAATATAAGAATAAAAAACCTGGGGAATATAACCTGGGAATAAAACGTGGGGAATATAACCTGGATGAATCAATCTCTCCCCACTAAACTGCATTAATTTTATCATGATGGTAATGCAGAGGGAAGCGAGATACAGATGGTCCCCGTCGGCTTCCTGCAGTTACTCCGCTCCGCTCTTCCCTCCCCGCTCCGCACCCAGGCTCCATGAATCAAGTGCTCATCAGCCTCCAGCAGGATGGAAAGGTAATTGAAAAAAAAATCCCAATGGAGAAAATTTTATCCTAAGCAGGTTTGGCATGTGACAAGGAAAGTACCCACAAAAATAAGCAAGTAAAGGCAGATGCTTCTCTTACAAAGGCGAGTAACAGGACAGGATTGAACACTCTGCACAGGCAGAGCTAGAAACATGGACATCAACTTTGATACATTCCACTAACAGAATAATTCTCCCTCCCCCAAATTCACTTAATTTTTCAGTAACTTTTTTTCTGCCATGCTCAAGGAAATATTTGATCAGATTACCCCTACGTACACATTTTTCATTTAATAAGATGACAATTCAATAAATCATGCTAGAAATATTCTGTATTTTCAGTAATATATGGACTACATATCATAAATTCAGTAATTCTCATATCAAAGAGGCAAGCAGCAATACCTCTTGCCAAAGATGAGCACTCTGCTAACATCAAGAAAAAAACTGGCAAAGATAAGAGTGGATTAGCAAATCTAAATATGATCCACTTGTGTCTCTGCTAAAACATGCTTTAGCTGTATTTATTCAAAAAATACGAAAAGAGGATGCACAAAACATTTATGCAAGAAATACTGTTTTCCTGAACATGTGCACTGACTAGTAATATAAGGTAAGAGCAAGATAAGCATTGTTAACATGATAACTGGACAGAAATTACAGATAATGGCAACAGGCTCAGGAGAAGGGAATGAGGGCCAAAGATACATTGTGATTGTGCAGTAAGGAGGAATAGATTTCCATGAGAATAACGGCATGCGGCCAAATTACTTTTGTAAGAAAGGGGAGAAATTTTGATATAGTAGTTGCAGGTATTTCAGCTATCAAATCTGACTGATAYATAGATGCTCATCTGCATTTTCTTAATAGATTTGGAAAATGTTAAGCCATAACCTACTGTTCCCTTCCTGGAATTTCTTCATGCAATTGGCTGCAAAAATCCAGGCATTTATGTTCAAACCCGACTTCTTCTCCAGGTGTCTCCATACTGCCTTCCCACCTGGGTTTTTGGATATCACGTATATGCCTTGGGTCATTTATACACCCAGGATCCCTGTCACTTTGCAGTTGTGAGACAGAGGTGGGAAAACACCAGCGTTGGGACCAGCCGTTGTTGCTGACAAGACACTCGGTTGGCATCTCTAAGCGCTGGCAGCCCTTGGGGGTAGCAGGGAGAAGGACCAGGTTCCTTGAAGGTACCAGCTGCCCTGCTCAAAACTCTGCTTCTTGATATGGGTTTCCTGCTCATAGACCAAGTTATTTCCCAAGGGATTTTGATCACATCAGCACTAGAGTTGACGGAGGGTTAGAGTCCCTGCTTTGCTGTCACCCAGGAGGCGGCRAAGATTCACGCAATGTTTGGATGGTTTCTTAAATTTGAAGACCTATGTAGATTAACTATACGTTGAGGGATGAAGTATATAAGGAGCTTAACACTTTGCTGTCTACTTCAAACAATTCATTCTTGCACAAAGCTTCAAAGATACAAGGCACAACAAAGAGCTTTGTATTAGGAGCACCAGTCCCCCCYTTTTTTTTTCTATTAAGAATAATATTAGCCTTCTCATTACACGCATCCATATGTTTTAGGGCTCACTGTAGACACCAATTTGTTCTCCTAATAATTCAGCAAATGCAGTTAAGAAAGAAAACCTCTTTTCAATGGTACTGCAAGCAATGATTTTGGATGCACAAAGATGTCACCATCAAATGCTTCAAAATAAAGCTTGCGGATACAATGAGGCTGGGCTAAAGACCAAAGAGTTAAAAATAAGCTAGAAACCAATGAGGTCATCTTTGATGAAAATCTTTCTATATCACACAGTTAAAGATGTTAAAAGGTTAAGTGTTTTTTAATTTCGTTTTTCGTAAAGCAACTTTCTTCTCCAGAACTAAGGGGTTAAGGTTACAGAGCAAAAACAAACTAATTTACTGATACAATACAGAATAAATCTATTTCTTATAGAAAATCTCTTAAAATTGCAAATGAAGCAAAAACACAGGAAACACAGAATTAAGGGTGTCATGGGATGCTGCTTAAAAAAATAACCTCAGCAAAACTAGCCTTGCAGTGCAGATGGTAATAAAAAATGGTAAGGTAATCAAACACCACAGCAAAATAGTGCAAACCTTCTGGGAATAATAAGTCCCAAACTTCTTTTGTGACCTTGCAGTCTGAGCCTGGACAAATTGAAATTATGGTGTAAACAACATATGCAGATTTATCATCTTACATTTCAAGAATCTATATGCTCTTTTCCTCCATACTAATTTGTGCTCTCTAGTGGGTTTCCGGATTTTTCTCTCTGCTTTCTCCAAGAAACTCAGGAGAGGAGCTTATTTGATACAATTAACTGTGCATGGCTTGGTGATGAGGTAGGGCTTTTCCACGTGGGAAAGGCCAGGCCTGCACACAAATGGTGCCTCCCTGTATCACAGAATATTCAAAGTTGGAAGGGACCTGTAGAGATCGCCCAGTCCAACCTTCCYGCTCCAGCAGGCACACCTAGAGCATGTGGCACAGGGCGGCATCCAGGCAGGTTTTGAAGACCTCCAGAGAAGGAGACTCCACTCAGGCGTGTTTCCAGAGGCCTCCCAAAACCATCACTGCAGAGGATGTGYCTAAAGAAAGCAACTTTGCTCTCCAGAGCTCCATGGGAATCACGCTGGGGGAGAGTCACAGCAGCCTCTCCAAGCGGGATGTCCAAGGGYGGTAAATGGTGCCCAGCAGGAGACAACAGCTGCTCATCCCATCAACCAAGGTGGCCATCCCTAAAGGGGAGCCCGCAGCTCGTGCTGCAGGGATGGCCWCTGCCTGGGGGAGTTCAGTGAAACGAACACTATTTCAATGCACTGGTTCACAGACCCCCAATACAGTTAACTCCAAATATTTAACATCTTTATAGTACTCTTTAGTCAGGATCTMGAGGAGTTTAAAAACATAATCTAATTTAGCCTTAAAACTCTCCTTTTTCAAAACACAGGACCGCAGTGAGGTACGGTACATTTTGAAATGCTTATTTTTTACTGACCTAGGGTCAGCTTTTACCACAATGAATCTAAATCGCTCGTTTCTTACATATTCTCAGTTTCAGAAAGGTCTAGTGTCTATATTCAGACAAATCAAGACACAGAAAACTAAAAGGTTAAAATCTTTGAAGCTCAAGCTACTGATGAGGTGCTCATTCATATTGTCCTTCAAGTTCTCAGAAGGCTTTTATCTTCACTTAGGAGCCAATGCACCCAGCTAGCAC